GGTGCCGGGAGCAGTAGCACACACTTGTAATCCCAGAACTCAGGAGACAGAGGCAGGGGGATCTTTGTGAGTTCAAGGCCAGCCTGGTCTACAAAGTGAGTCCAGGACAGCCAAGGCTACACAGAAACCATGTGTCAAAAAAAAAAAAAAAAAAAAAAAAAAAAAAAAAAAAAAAAAAAAAAAAAGGCAAAGCAAAACAAAAGAAAATAAAAAACAAACAAAAAACCACAAACTCACAAACCAACCACTCTGGATTTTGTGGCATAACATCAAACACTGAGTTATCAAACATGGCTTTGCCAGACTATCATTGTTGTTGCCTTTACGTTGTGGAAATTCTATGTTAAAAAGAAAGTAACCTCTGCCAATAGAAGGCATTTTAAACTTATTTAGACAGGCTCTCTGTAGCCCATGCTGGTCTCAGACTCTCCATGATCCTCCTTCCCTTGCCTCTTGTCAAAGGCTAGGCCTACAAGGCATGAAGCACCACACTCAGTTTAAGCTAATTGTTTATTATTATTTTAACTTTTTGATTACCGTGTAGCTCTCTGGAAACACTGGCCAAATCCTACATACTTATCTTTAGAAATAAAGTATAGCTTCTGGAAGAGCTTGGGGCGAGATTTACTCAGTTAATCTGAAACTGGTGTGGCTCATAAAGAAATGACATGGGATGAATGAAACTTTAATGCTGAGATTAAAAAGGAAAAAAAATCGAAATTAGAACCTTAGCATTAGTTTCGCTCAATGGGGTATCTATCCACTTTTGACTTATCTTCCTGTTTGGGGCTGGTCTAGTGTTATGTATTTTAGCTAATTACTGGCCCCCAAGATCTGGTCCCTGTACCTTCTCATGCGTGAACCTTGCTCCACATAATTTAAAGCTCAAGCTTGGGATTTAGCAGAAGAAAGGGAGGTGGAGTTTGGGGTTCTGAAGGCTGGGGTCGAGGGACCATGAGGAAGGAGTGCAAGAGAGGATTGGAGAAGGAATCAGACCCACGCCATGGGTTAGTGTGGGAAAGGAGCATGTGGCCAGTTTAGCAGGGATGGAGATGGAGGAATATCAGTAAGTATTTTGGCATCATGGATAGAAGATAGCCCGAGATTGGGGTTGCAAGGTAAAGTTAGAGGGTTAATGTCTGCAGTGCCCCAGGTAAAGGCTATTTTATAAAATACAGCTGGCGTCTGTGTCTTTATTTGATTGACAGTGGGTTAGATAATTCCACCTTGGTAATTATAGCCTAATAATGTGGGTTCCTCTTTCTAAAAGTCCTATGACCTTCCAGAACTGTGCCCCCAGCTGGGGAACAAGTGTTTCAACACAGGAGCCTGTGGGGTCATTTCATACTCAGGCAATAACTATCATTGCGGGCAGGATGGGGGCTGAAATTCAACTGTGGAGTAATTTTTGGATACAATCTACACTGAAAGCATATGCTTTTGTGTATACCCCTTCATCAGAACCAAAGTTGAAGGTGGTAGCCCTTCCCGTGCGCCCTCGCTGGAGAACGGGTCTCAGCCAGTAAGCATGAAGACAGCTCTATGTGTAACTTCCAATCCTGGGGTGACCCTGGACTTGGCATTTTAACTGCAATTCCCATCGACGTATCTTGGGTATTCCTTACTTCCTTCTGAACTCTTCTGGAGTATTTCTTTAGAAATGGTTCCCAGCAGGAGCACACATCTCACACAGTAAGGCTGTACTGCAGATTTGGAAAGTTATCGATTCTTTCTGAGGCGATTTGAAACAAAACATATAGAAAAAAAATCACTATAATTCAGACTTTATTGCTTATGAGTCATGTCATTCCACACAACCTTAAGTAAAGAGACTTTGAGAAAACAGACTGGGAGCATTATCAGATGATGGTAACATTGATGAAAATGTTCAAGTGTTCATATAAGTGACAGGAGGCGCCACTGCCACCGTCTGCCCCAGAGATTTGCACATTTCATAGAAAAAGAGTAAAAATAGTTCATTGGCATTTAACTAGCATTATTTTTCACAATCTAAGAACCACAATAACTTTGACCAGTGAAAAAAATCTTTAGAACAGAACAAAACGCTTTTTTTTTCCCATTACAAGATTAAAAAAAAAAAATCAAACAAATCAAGATGACAATAAAAAACCCCCACATAAACAGAAGCTTGGAGAGAAAAGATGTCATAGTCTGGGTGTCTTCAAATCAATCCAAGAAACAAAACAAGTGCAAGCAAACTCTTTCACTGTAACTACGCTTACTTTACAGCTCATACAATTTCACTGCAGCCAAGGGTAACTGTAAAATCCACAGACACATCTGCTCTTATGCTAAGGTAACGTCTTTAAAAGTTAGTTGTTCTTTACAATGTGGTATAAACAACATGGTGCAACTTGGTATTCTAACAACACAAAAGCACACACAGTCACTGTAAAACACACACACACACACACACACACACACACACACACACACACACACA